TGGCAGCCACAAGGGACGGAGCCACCTCTCTCCCCGAGGGCCCTGGGCCAGCACCTGGTGGAGGGGGAGGGCCTGGGTTCCGCTTTCCTTCCCTCTTCCTCCGGCTGCCTGAGAGATCATGGAGGACACCATGGGGGCAATGAACTCTGACCTTGAGCCTGGGGGCCCAGCAGCCGAGAAGCTGTGGGCTGCAGCCTGACCACTAGGCCTGCTGGCGCCTGAGTGAAGCCTGCTATAGTATGTCACCGTGGCACCCCCCATATCCTGTGCTGCAGCAGGGACTGAAACCCTCCCCAGTGCCCTGGGGGCCACTTGAAGGATGGCAGCCTCCTTTGGACTGCCTATGGGAGATTCCCCCCGCACCCAAAGTGCCCCCTCTCACCTCTGACATGCTCCCTACCCTACAGCTTGCAAGGGGCAGCAGTTTAGGCTGCTTTTGTCAGCCCTATGCTACTTCCGAGCTGGAGGAATCCTCCTCTATGGCCCCTGCACCTAGCCCCAGAGACAAATATGGGCCTGAGTGGAGGTCAGAGCCAGCCCTATTGTCTCTACCAGAGGATTTGGCCATGAAGATAACTCTCAATGCCAGAGAACCCCCCCAGCATGCTACAGGCTGAGTTCAGCCAGAACTATGCAGGGAGCCTTTGCCTCTTCCATGCCCACGGCTGATTTCAATGGTTCCACCACATCTCTCTTGATAACTCACATCTTGATTGGTCATATCCCAGTAGGGCCGCTCCCCATAGGACATCACCTCCCACATGACTATGCCGTAGCTCCACACGTCGCTGGCTGAGGTGAATTTCCTATACTGAATTGCTTCAGGCGCCGTCCACCGGATCGGGATCTTCCCACCCTGCAGGAAAGGAACAGAGAGAAGGAGAGAGTAAGAGAGAAGGATGCGATCTGGAGTATTTGCATACAATGAACCGGTGAAATGGAGCCGCTGGGCCAGATAACTAGAATTCTGAGCAATGAAATTACTAATGTGCCAGAGTTCCTTGACCAGAATTTACCCCTCTCCACACTTACACAAATCAGTGCTTCTATGCAGGGTTAGACAAGGACTGGCCCTTTTGGAACCAGTGGACATGAATCAATGTATTCCTCCCTGTCGTGCAAGAAGGATGAAGCCCTGAGCTGCTCTGACGCTGCAGACTGTCTACAGACTGGGTTTATATGAAGTACCCTCCTCCTACAAACTGCTGTGATCTCTGCTGTGAACTCCTGCAAAACCTACAGCCTGTTGTGCCAATAGATTCATTTGAAGAAAAATTAGTATGTAAAAATATAGAAAATCCTGACTCTTCTCTCTTGAGTTTCTCTCCATCCTCTTGCTGTCAGCTAGTTATCCCAGTGAAAGGATAAACGCAGAGACTTCAAAGATGTCCTGTTTAATTGTTCAAGCTTTGTGGGATGCATGATACTCCTGGGGCTAGAGTTCCCATGCTGGAAGATTTGTGGCTATCTTTTTATTATACAGGCTCATATAGGCCCCGGTTCTGCTGTTACCCTCATGTAAACAGAGTAAATGCATTGGAGTCACTATTGGTTTAAGCTGGTTGAAGTGAGACAGATCTGGCCCACGTGAAGAATTACCTATTCCCTCTTAGTAGGGATCCTGTTAGGTGAAACAGTCTCAGACCACTACAGATGCTAGACACAGTAACTGTACAATTACCCTAAATGCCCACTGTGGTCTGATCAGACCCACTGAACTTCAGATAAAATGAGAAGCTTTCCAGGTTGGGCTTGAGCAGAGAAGGTGCCCCAAGAGGGATCAGATGCAGGACCCAGACTGGGAACGAGGAAGTTCCAGAGGCCTCAACAGAGAACTTCATCCTAGCGTCTTCCAGCCATACCAGCCATACAAGGCAAATACTATTGGCCAGCACTGCGTTCCTGTAAAACAGAACACTCCTCTGCAGGGCAGGTGACATTCCCAGGCTTCAGGGCTGTTGTTACCAGCAGAGTCACCCTGGGCCCAATTCATGTCCATTTCAGCACTTCTCCAATCCAGCTGTTGCTTGTGCCAGGAGGTGATGGCACACACGCGTGGGGTGTGCAGGTGCCATCTCTCTCCCTTCCGAGAGGCGTGCTCCTCATGGTGCACCAGCCACACAGAGCAGGAGAGCGTGGCAGTGAACTGGGGCATGAGCCACTGCCCCAAGTGAGAGCTTTTCCCTGGTCCCTCTGCTAGCACTCACCCTTAAAGGGGGCACTCGAGTTTGGGCCTGGAATTCATGATGGGGTGCAAGTCCACTTAGCCCAGGTCTGATCCGGTGCCCTGTGCTCGCATGTCTCCAGAGAGGGAAACAGGCCTTGCTTACACTACCACACCTGCTAGGAAAGAGCCCCAATCGCTGGCGGTCTTCTGAATGTCTCTGGTAATCAGACCCTTCGGCTGTGTCTCTCACTGCATGAGAGGCATCACAGGGAGCAGTAACACTCCCCAAAATCTGGATAGATGGAACGGTTCCTGTTACAAAGGCAGATGGGGTTACAACCACGGCCACCCCCTCTAAAGGACTGTTGCTGGATCGCTCCTTGAAGAAGAGAGTGAAAGAGGAGCTGTGACTCTAAGGGCAGGCCTTCACTACCCGCCGAATCGGCGGGTAGAGATCGATCTATCGGGGATCGATTTATCGTGTCTTGTCTAGACGAGGATAAATCGATCCCCGAACGTGCTCCCCGTCGACTCCGGAACTCCAGCTCGTGAGAGGCGGAAGCGGAGTCAACGGGGGAGCGGCAGCGGTCGACTCGCCGCCGTCCTCACGGCCAGGTAAGCCGACCTAAGACATGCCAACTTCAGCTACGCTATTGGCGTAGCTGAAGACAGCGTATCTTAGGTCGACACCCCCCCAGTGTAGACCAGGGCTAAGACAGGATGGGTGCCTGAAGTCAGCGGGAAGGATCCATTCGTGATGGTGCTTATAGGTACAGTACTAACAATGCTGCTTCACGCGATACTCCCCCAACTATACATGGCTTCAGGGAACTCAGAAGCGTGCTGAAGGCGAGGAATGTCCAAATAGTCTTCTCAGAGATCTTTCCTGTCCTAGGAGCGAAGGAAGACAAAAGGCAGAAGATTCTGGAAGTGAATCACTGGCTAGGTAAGTGGCAGAGGGTGGAGGGCTTGGGTTTTGTGGCACATTTTTCTACCTTCTGTGGAAGAGGGGGCTGTATAGTTTGGACGGCCTCCACCTGAGTAGAAGGGGAACCAATCCTCAAGGGGACAGGCTGGCTTGAGTAGCCAGGAGGGTGTTAAACTAGTAACAAAAGGGGAGGAACAAATGAATATTCATTTAGCACAAAACCAAGAGGTTGAGAACAAAATCAATCAAGACACCAAAGGACGCAAAGAGGAGAAATTCCTGAATTGCCTATACACCAATGCTAGGAGCCTGGGCACTAAGCAGGAAGAATCTGAATTGCTCATTTATGAGCACAAATTTGATTTAATCGGCATTACTGAAATCTGGTGGGGTGGTTCACATAAGAGGAATGTTAAAATCAATGGTTATAACCTATTTATGAAGGCTCATAGGGGATGGGGAGTGGCATTCTATACAAACAATGGCATTACACCTGTTTCGGAGTCACTGACGACTTGGAAGCAATTATTTTGAATGCTTATGGATAAATGGTCTAACAGATAAAGCACAAGATGGGGGTTCTAATTGGTGTCTGCTACAGACCAACAAAGCACAATAGAGAACAAGATGATTGCCTCCTTAACCACCTATCTATAATGTATAGGAAAAAAACCGGTAGTGTCACGGGGGACTTCAATCTGAGTGACGTCTGCTGGAGATTTCATTCTTCCAGTAGTAAAACATCCTTGGAATTTCTAAATATTATAGATGACAATTTCCTGTCCCAAAAAGTGTTGCATCCACCATGAAGGCATCCTATATTAGACCTTATTTTGACAGATAAAGAGGGACTGAACACAGAACTAAACATTAGTGGTAGCTTAGGTGCAGTCGATCATGGATTGATTATATTTGTTACGTGCAAACAGAATAAAGTCCAAATTCTTATAGTTGAGCTTTAAAAGGGCCAATTTCACAAAGCTGAAAATACTTATGAGACAAATCAAGTTGGGAGAAAAACATTAAATAGAAAAATGTGAATGATAATTGGGTATTGTTTGAAAATATTTTACTAGATGCCAAAAAGCCAACAAATGTCTCTATCTAGAAAAAAGTTCACACTAGTTAAATAAACAGCCTGGCTTAGAGGGGAAGAGAAATCAGATATAAAAATCCCATATATAACAAATGGAAGGAAAGAAAGTTGATAGTAATGAATATAAATCAGAATTTAAGAATTGTAGAAAATTGATAAGGGAAGCAAAGGATACAAGCACTCTATGGTCAACAAAGTTAAGGACAATAAGAAGTTTTTTAAGTATACTTGGAACAAAATGAATCCTGACAATGGTATAGGAAGATTACTAGATAGAAATGGTAGAATTGTCAATAATAATGCAGAAAAGGCAGAAGTGTTCAATAAATATTTCTGTTCAGAATCTGGAAAATATCCAGATGATATAGCTATAACATAGGAAGATAATGAAATACTTTCCATTCCAACAGTAACTAAGGAGGATATTAAACAGCAGTACTAAAGCTAGACATTTAAAAATCAGCAGGTCTTGATACCTTACATTCAAACGGAGCTTTCTGAACTGTAAATGTTGATTTTCAATGTATTGGGGAAATGGGGAAGTTCCAGAGGACTGGAAAAAGCTAATGTGGGGCCAATATTTAAAAGGAATTAACAGGATGAAAGACTCAAGGAGCTCAGTCTGGTTATCTTATCAAAGAGAAGGTTAAGAGGTGATTTGATCACAGTCTATATTTAACTACACGGGGAACATAAATTTGATAATCACAGGCTTTTCACTCTAGCAGGCTAAGATATAACAAGGTTTAATGGCTCAAAGTTGAAGTTAGACAAATTCAGACTGGAAATAAGGCATACATTTTTAACAGTGAGGGTAATTAACCACTGGAATAATTTACCAAGGGCTGGGGTGGATATTCCATCACTGGAAAATTTTACATCAAGATTGGATGTTTTCTCTAAAACAGATGATTTAATTCAAACAGGAATTAATTCGGGGAAGTTCTATGGACCAACACAGGAATCAGACCAGACTGATAATCACAATGGCTCCTTCTGTCCTCATAATCCATGCATCCATGAATCTATGAAAAATGCATTTCAGCCAACAGTTGGGAGATTTACAGCACAGTAATGAATTCTGCAAACTAGCAAGGAAGAGAGCAAACATCTGCACTGCCAACTGTACCTTGTTCACTGACTTTAACAGTGCAGAGAAGTTTTAATTATTCATGACTCTCCTTCTCTGAGTCCTAGGAAATGTGCTGGAGTCTCAGACAGCAACGAGGCCGTTGTAATGTGAGATGTCAGCATCATGCTGCTGCTGTTAGTAAAGCTTTGCTGAGAAGTTGGAAGAAACTGGTGGGTTTGTGGGGAATTTTTGGTTTGCGCGTTAGTGGAGTGGAGGAACCGTTAGCGATCATCTCCAAGAACACATGGAGGACGGGTGAGGTACCAGAGGACTGGAGGAGGGCAAACATAGCACTTATCTTTAAAAAGGGGAACAAAGAGGACCCAGGAAATTACAGACCAGTCAGCATAACTTCAATTCCTGGAAAGAGACTGGAACAAATTGTTAACAATTTGTAAGCACCAAGAGGATAATAGGGTAGTAAGTGACAGCCAACATAGATTTGTCAAGAACAAATCATGCCAAACCAACCTAATTTCCTTCTTTGACAAGGTTACTCAGGCAAGTGGATGAAGCTGTAGACATGATATATCTTGATTTTAGTAAGCCTTTTGATACAGTCCCATATGAAATTCTCATCAGCACACTAGGGAAATGTGGTCTAGAGGTGCGCACAACTGGTTGAAATACTGTACTCACAGAGTAGCTATCAATGGTTCACTGTTAAACTGGAAGTGTACATCTAGTGGGGACCAACAGGGGTCTGTCATAGATCCAGATTAATCAATATTTCCATAGTGACTCGGATGGAGAATATTCTTATACAAGCCATGCCACAGACATACCCACAGGGTTCAGATGAGTTTGTACTTGGCCATGTGCTCCCCTGGCTACACTATTTGTAGTGCTCTATCTCGATGACAGCTAGCACAAATATGTCTGTGTGAACAGGGAATCACACCCCTAGCTTATAGAGTAGAGGTAGCCTGTAAAGATAGTTAAGCGTTGGAATAGCCTTCCAAGGGAGGTTGTGGAATCCCCGTCATTGGAGGTCTGTAAGAACAGGTTGGACAAACACCTGTCAGGGATGGTCTAGGTATATTTGGCCCTGCTTCACCACAGCGGGCGGGACTAGATGCCCCCTTGAGGACCCTTCCAGCTCTCCATGTCTGTGATTCGATGGATACTCTTCTGTCATGGTTTCCCCACATTATTTAGAAGAAGCTGTCCTTCGAAGAAGCTCATGGTTTGTTATTGCGGGATTTCTTATCGGCACTGGGTTTCATACACCGGTCTGTCATTTTAGGGCATTAGCTACTGGCAGGGATGTGAACTGACGCGTGTGGCCTCGGGAACAGTTGGGGCAGCAAGGTGGATAACCAGAAAGCAAAGACAGAAACGGAACGAGAAATTCTAGAATTCCAGAATCTTCTTACACAACGGTTACAAAGACCTCCCTGCCGCCAGCTCCACCCCGCCACTCACCATGGCATTCCCGGGAGCCATTAGCTCTGCCCCGCAGTGCACCCTGACCATGGGGCCTGGGCCGCTCTGCCTGACAAAATGCATCGTCCCCATCTTGGGAGTGTGTGTGTGAAACAGAGGCTGCTTATCCTCAGCCCGCTATGAATGGATCCCCACCCGGTGCAGGACCCTTCCCCTTCCTGGGGCTCTGCGTGGCTCTCATTTCATGTCTGAGCCCTTCTGCCCTTTCCCTACATGCAGGCCCTGTGTGCGGCGCCCTTCAGGAGTGCTCACACCGACCGCAATGAGCCGAGTCTGACCAACAGGGCAAGGGCTCGCCAAGTGCCTCCCCCCCGTGTTCCTCTCGCTCTCTCCCTCCCCCTTGATCACCTCCTCGTCTCCTCCCCTCCCCTCCCGCTCTGGAGATGGGAGCTTTACCAGCGCACTGGTGTAGGTGGGATCCGAGGTGTCATCCTCTAGGAAGCGGGACAGGCCGAAGTCGGACACCTTGCAGACCAGGTTGCTGTTGACGAGGATGTTGCGGGCCGCCAGGTCCCGGTGCACGAAGTTCATATCAGCCAGGTACTTCATGCCCGCGGCGATGCCCCGCAGCATGCCCACCAGCTGGATCACCGTGAACTGCCCATCGTTTTGCTTAGGGGGAGACAGGAAAAGTCCATATGGGACGAGTGGGTTTGCACTTCACTCCGACACCAGGCCAGGGGAAGAGGCACGCAGACGCGGAATGACTTGCCTACAGCCACGCAGGAGTCAGCAGCACTCAGGACTAGGACCCAGGAGTCCTGAGTCTCTGCCCCAGAACTCAGCTGCTCTCATACAATCAAAGGAGAGTCACCAGCCGTTTCTGTTGGAATAAGAGGCCTGGTGTTGCTGCCTATGGTGGGGGCCGTGGGCCTGGGGGCCCTAGTGCTCTGACACAGGAATGGGCCTGCGAGGCTCAGGGGCACCTTGTCACCCCTATTCCTGCCCAACAATCGCAGCATTCTCAAGCTAAGCACCACAGAGAACTTTCCACAGCCAACAGGGGACACGCCCCCTTCAGAGCAGTGATCTCAGGGAGCTGCTGTCATACAGAGATGCACCTTGCACAGCAGGATTCGGGCACTAGGATCTCACTCAGCTACGTGGGTTATTCCTTTCAGCACAATGAATGATTCACCTCAGGCTGAGGCCCACAAAGGTTTAGATCGAGCGGACTGAGGGCGATATCCTGCCCCTATACAAGTCAATGGCAAAACTTCCATTGACTTCAACAGAGCCAGGATTTCCCCTTGAACGTGTGTGTGCCCTGTGTGCGTGAGCGCATGCGCACTGGCGGGCAGTGTGCGCACGTGTGCCCTGGCCATAGTGAGTGCGTGCGCTGTGCAAGTCGTGCATTTGACCTTGTGTGCCTTGGTGTGCAGTGTGTGTGTGGACGTCTGCACTTGAGTTTGGTCATGTTGTAACCCATGTCCTGATCCATGCTGCTAACATGGTGGTAAACTGCAGTGTAGACAGACCACGGGCATCTGTTCCTCGCCAAGTTTAGTAGTAGGCTGCATCCTGGCACCAAGGTTTGTGTCCTGGAAGACGTGTTTGTGTAGGGCCTACACTGTATTAATTGACACAGGATGTTCACAGTCGTGGCTGGGCCCCACAAGAGGCTGGGCGTCAGTGTCCCCAGGGAAGCCGCTGGGGGCTCAGAACTCCGACGTCTGAACCTGAAACGTGTGTCCTGCCTGTGAGCGAAGTGCTGCATGTGTATGTGTGAAACGTGCATGCACAGCGTGCGAGCAGTATTTGCTCACCGTGTGTGTGTGTGTGGGCAGTGTATGCCCTCTGCCTGTGTGCACAGCCCTGGGGCAGAGCCTTCCAGAGCACCGCGCAGCGGCTCTCAGCCTGCAGGGTGAATGCTGCTGGCCTGGAGGGGTGTAGCACTGCCATAGGAAAAGGTGGAGTCAGCAAGGGCTGGGCCCCGCTTGCCACCTCCCCCCCCGGTCCCAGCATCCCCTCTGCCACTGCCCTTCCCAGCACCTCGTACCCGGAGAAAGGAGTCCAGGGAGCCATTCTCCATGAACTCGGTGATGATCATGACAGGGGCGCTCTTGGTGACCACCCCCTCCAGGTGGATAACGTTGGGGTGGTCGAACTGCCCCATGATGCTGGCCTCGCTCAGGAAGTCCCGTCTCTGCTTCTCCGTGTAACCCGACTTCAGCGTTTTGATGGCCACAAAGATCTCTCTCTTGCCAGGCAGCTTGAGGTGCCCACTGCACACTTCCCCAAACTCCCCTGAGATGGGAGAGAGCACAGGTTACAAACTGCTGGCCTCCCCAGTGCTCTGCCCTGCCACTCAGACCCTCTGCATGGGACCCTGCTGCTCCCATGCCACCAAACACACCCATCCTCCATGCACCCAGCCCCACGCACCCCCCTCCCATGCACCCAGCCCCACGCACTCCCCTCGCACGCACCCAACCCCAGACACATCCTACCCGCACACACATCTCCTTGCACGCTGGCCCATGCACACCACACACACATAATACCTGCCCACCTCTTTTCTGGGGGCAGCTGAGTTCATCTGGAATCTCACCGCTGTTCCCCCTTGTTTTGTGTCAAATGCTTCTCCTCAGGCCCAGGCATCCTTCCAGCTGAGGAGCGCTAAATCCTGCTCCCTCTGGGTCAGCCAGCTGGGCGTCAGCCTTCTAGAGCGCAGTGCGGTGTCCCTTCCTTGCAGGGCTGAGTGTGCTGCCCGCAGAGCACCCAGTGCCAGCTGACACGGGCCGCTTGGTGCTGAGCTTGGCCATCCCACATAGCAGGACGTGCAGGGGCTGGCCCCATCCCTCGGTTACTGGCCACAGCTAGTTCCCCTGTCTCGCTGGCGAAAGCTGCTCAGCAAGCTCCTTCCTAGCCCCTGGGCCTGGCTACCGTGAGGAGGCTGTGGGGCTGATGGAGAGCCCAGCCCAACGTGGCCCAGCCTACCTGCTCCGATCACCTGCTCAATTTTGACACAAGAGATGTCGATTTCCTTTGCAAATTCCCTGACGGCCTCATTGGGGTCTTCATAGGTGAAGGGGTCAATGTAAATCTTCATTCCCGGAGTCACTGCGAATAGGTGGAGGGAGAGAGTCAGACAGACAGAGGCACCCGGGATGACAGCCAGACAGCAAGAAGAAAGGAAGAACCCGTGCATGCCTGTGTGCGTGCGTGTGTACCCGGGTCTGTGTGCGTGCGTGTGTACCCGGGTCTGTGTGCGTGCGTGTGTACCCGGGTCTGTGTGCATGTGTGTGTGTGTGCAAGAGAGAGATGCTGCTGCAGCAAGGGGCAGGCTCTGAACCCTGCAGACAGCGGGAGCATGTGCAGGAGAGAGGCATGTGGAGAAGCATGTGGCATTCATGGGAAGCACACAATCCAAGCAGAGCTTCTCGCTGGCCGGGCACAGAGCCCCGTCCGCAGGCCCCTCCTGAACACAGGGGCTCATCAGCCACGGAGGAGCCTGGGTCCTAGGCCAAAGGAGCTACAACGAAAATGGTTAAGTACAATTCCTCCACACTAGACGCTCCTGCAGCAGACACATCCTGAGCCAACCCCCCGGCTTCCCCAAAGAGAGCAACAGCACTTCAGAGACTGCCTCCGTCTGCCCAGCGCACCCTCAGGGTTCAGGTATTAGGGACCTCAGGCCCAGCTGTGCTAGAGCGAGACAGCCATGGCAGTGACCACAGAACCTGAGCCCGGGATCCAAACCCCCCCGGAGCACTGTCATTTTGGAGTTGAATATGGGGGAATCCAGATGTTGGCCAGCAGACCAGCCTGAGATGGGAAGCTGCCAGATTCTGCTCTCAGCCCCCCTGGGCAAACCTCCAGTAACTCAGGCAGGGGAGCTAGAGAGGCCTAGCACTTTTATGTTGCCACGTCAGTATGCACTTGGGCTCCCAACCTTACACCCCCACCTATGAAAATGCTGGTCTAAGTGACTGACTGAAGGCCACACAGCAAATCAGTGGCAGAGCCAGGGAGATGGAGAATCCATGCTGGTGCCCTGCCCACACTGCCTCCCCACAGATAACGGTACCCCGAGGGGGAGGGACCCAACACTGGTGACCCAGACACAGCCAGGCCTGGAGGCTGAAGACACCACGGCAGCTGCAAGAGCCAAGCTCCCCCTGCCAGACGGAGCAGAACACGCAGGCGGGAGCCGGTCTGGAACTCACCACTAGCTTTGACTGCCCCACTGCACATTGGTCTCATGGCTGGGGGCTGGGAAGGCGGCACTGAGCACCGTGCTTCCCGCTTGTTACCAGAGACTTGGCTCTGCCCACCAGAGCCTTTCACCAGCCGTATCCTAGCCTGCCACAGAACTTGGGCTGCTCTTGGGAGCCAAGCGTTGGAGCAGAGTGTGCAGTGGGGTCCAGCACGGAGCTTCATGAGCGCACCAGAGCCAGAAGTGCCAGTCCTGGGGCCGTGGCAGTGGATGGGAACCGGCCAGCGAGCCAGGATGCGAGGAAGGCCATTCTCTCCAGAGTGCGAGCCGAGGGGGTTCGAAAGGCTGTATGGCGCTTCAGGGGTTTCTGACACTTCAAACAAAGCCACACTCGCCGCTAGGGCGGCACGGCTGGGACACTGAGCAGCGTCTGGGGCTCTTATCAGTCGGCAAAGTGACAACCACAGTTACAACAGCACAATAACAACAACAACATTGGAGCTCATTCAATGGCTGTGCAGACATTAAGGCCAGCCGAGCCGTGAGATGGGACAATCTTTGCTAGTGGCTAGCTGGAAATGTGAATGCAGATTTGTACACCTTATAAGGCCGGGTCAACACTAGAAAGTTATGTGGACATAGCCCTGTTGTCAGGGGTCTAATTTTTAACTGGTGTATTGGTACAATCCCTGGGTGGGCACAATTATACCGGTAAAAAGATGCCTTATATTGGCGTAGTTTATTCCTTTCCCCCTAGAGCAGGGGTGGGCAAACTTTTTGGCCCGAGGGCCACATTGGGGAATAGAAATTGTATGGCGGGCCATGAATGCTCACAAAATTGGGGTTGGGGTGCGGGAGGGGGTGAGGGCTCTGGGGATGAGGAGTTTGGGGTGTAGGAGGGTGCTCTGGGCTGGGACCGAGGGGTTTGGAGAGTGGGAGGGGGATCAGGGCTGGGGCAGGGGGTTGGGGTGTGGGGAGAGGCTCAGGGGTACACGCTCCAAGTGGCGCTTACCTCAAGCGGCTCCCGGAAGCAGTGGCATGTCCCTTCTCCGGCTCCTGTGCAGAGGCGCGGCCAGGTGGCTCTGCACACTGCCACATCCACAGGCACCACCCCTGCAGCTCCCACTGGAGCATGTAGGAGCCGGAGCAGGGCCATGCCGCGGCTTCCAGGAGCTGCGTGGAGCGGCTCTGACCCTGCGCCTCGGCTGGTGCACTGGAGCGGGGCCAAGCCGCTTGGTAAGGCCCCCGACCCAGCGCCCCAGCTGGAGCAGCGCAAGTCCCAGACCCCGCTCCCCAGAAGGAGCTTGCGGGCCAGCTTAAAACGGCTCGCAGGCCACATCCAGCCAATGGGCCGTAGTTTGCCCACTCTAGCCCTAAAGGATGCACAGCAAGGTAGTGAATGGGGTTCTAGAAGATACACAGTGAAGCGGGGCGGGGTTCTAGAGGACGTGCAGCGAAGCAGGGCGGGGTTCTAGAGGATACAAAGTGAAGATGGGTGGAGTTCTAGAGGACACCTAGCGAGGTGGGGGGTTCTAGAGGGCACACAGTGAAGTGGGATGGGGTTCTACAGGACATGCAGTGAAGCAGGGTGGGGTTCTAGAGGACACACAGCGAGGCGGGGTGGGGTTCTAGAGGACGCACAGTGAAGCGGGGCGGGGTTCTAGAGGACGCGCAGTGAGGTGGGTGTGGGGGTCTACAATTGGGTGAGGGTGGGGTTCTAGAGGATGCTCTCTGAGGAGGTCAGAGGTTCTAGAGGATGCTCTAGATCGGGTGGGATTCTAGATGACATGGAGCGTGCTGAGCCATTAATTTCATGCTATGAACCATAAAGTTGTCAAATAAATTCCAGATTAAGTTTGGCCCCTAAATCAAAAAGTCGGGTTCATGGTGAAGACTCCCCAAATGGCTCCTTAAAGTGACCCCCTGGCTCCATGGTGCCCCATTTCCATGGTAACTGACCGGGAGGGAGGTGAGGGTGTTTCCAGCAGGACTAGCCACCACCGGGGGGCCTTCCTGTTCAGACTAAGGGCCCGGAGCCTGGCTGGGCCCAGTGGGTTTTTCACACTCTACACAGGGAAAGAGGGAATGAGAGAACGAACCGAAGAAGGAATGGACCCCCAGGCCAGGCACGGGTGCGCGGTACGTACTGTGGCCACTGGTATAGTGCTGCAGCTTGTCAGTGTACTCGGAGTCGGCTCGCTCGAAGCCCCGTCTTCTGAAAGGAAAGCGAGCACTGAGAGGGTCAGGGAAGGGACGGGCACAGCAGGGCAGGGTGCTCCAAGCATGGGGCATGTCAGCACCGTCCCACCGTGCCCACACAGTCCCAATAACCTCTACCCTCTCTGCCCCCCATCCCCATCTGCCCTCCCCCCACATCTTCCCTCTCCCCTCACTTCCCCCACCCCCACCTGTCCTCTTCTTTCACCTCCACCCTCACCTGGCCTCTCCCCTTAGCTCCCCCACCCCCATCTGCCCTCTGCCTCTCGCCTCCCCCACCCCACATGCCCTGTCACCCATCACCTCTCCCACCACCCCAGACCGAGCAGCGTGGGCCGTGCCAGGCCGAGCATGGTGGGGCTGTCCCTGGACAGCGCGTGGCACGCTCACCGGTAACCCACCTGTTGCACACAATGATGATGACGACCACGGCAATGAGGAACACCAGACCCGCTGCGGAGGAGCCGATGATGAGCGGCAGCTTCTCCTGGACGCTGGTTTGGTACTCAGCTGGCACACAGGATGGAGGGAACCCGTTACTGCGCCGTGAGACCCCCCGCAGGTGTCAAGCTCACATGTGGGTGGGGGATGCAGCTCCCCAAAGTGCAGGGGGGAGAGGGAATGTGAGTCTTCTGCCCCCTCCCTGGCTATGGGTGAGGGGGGAATAAAGAACCCTTTGCAGGTCCCAGCTTGGTGGGAACCCGTGGAGAACCTCTGTGCCCACCCCTCTTTGTCTGCTCACCTGAGCCCTGCCAGGTAGGCTGGGTGGGGGGATTCACAGCCCTGCAGCAGAAGGCACCAGCCCACCCTGCTAAAGCCCTGATCCTGGTCTCTGCCCCTTTATGGAGAGGGACCTGCCTGCCTGTCTCACCTTCGGTCATGGTCTGGAAGTACATCTTGCCACTGTAGCGGCCGTAGCCGGCCACGGTGCGTGCCCGCACCTGGAAGACGTAGATGGTGCCGGCTTTGAGGTTCTGCACAGTCATGGTGTTGGTGGGGCTCTTCACTGCTGTGGCATTGAATTCACTCAGATCCTGCCAAGGAAACGACACCTGCTGTTAGAGAGCCGAGCCCAGGCCCTGGCCCCTCTCGGGCATGAGGAGCTTTGCATTCGCTGCACCCAGGACAGCTGCCACCAGGGCTCCAGAGAGAAGGGAGCATCTGCACGGGGGTCCTCTGGGGGGGGGGGGGGGGGC